TCTACCTGTCGACTGTCTGCTGTCTCTCTTTCTATTGCTATCTTGTTCTCTCTCTCTCTCTCTCTCTCTCTCTCTCTCTCTCTCTCTCTCTCTCTCTCTCTCTCTCTCTCTCTCTCTCTCTCTCTCTCTCTCTCTCTCTCTCTATGTTGCTTTCACTTGCTCTCTCTTGCTCTCCCTTGCTCTTGCTCTTCCTCTCAAACATATTACAAAGATCTCTGACGATCCCAGTGGCCAAATGACATAAAAATATCATAACTAACACAGTTTCAAGAAGTCCAAACAGAATGTGCGAGCAAATGAGTATCATAAAATCGGCCAGTTTGCAAATATTAAAATATGCATCAACGGGGCATGAAATCGTGCAATTTTCACGTACTCCGGTTGACGGGAAGTGACTCGATCAATCTTGCAATTTGCAAAATTTATTAGCCTGAACGATTTTTTTTTTTAGATGACCAAGAGGGGGAGGAGGGAGTCCGCCCCCCCCCCCCCCATCTAAGCGATTGTATCGCCGACAGGAGTGATGTATTTAGGGACATTCGGGTAGTGAATATGCACACATTGGTTGCAATTGAATCTCGTATGTTGCAAGAATGGCTGCACGTTTTCGTAAAAGATTCGGGGATTGTGACTTACGAAAATGCAGTCAACTCCTAAGGGTGTTGAAAGTCCTTTTTCGAGGCTGCAAGTATTTTATTTAATCCATCAGATAACGAGATTTTTTGGGGGGAAAAGTCGTGTTTTATTATTATTTTTAATAATAGTAATAATAATTGTTATTTGTAATGTTAATATAATTTTTAATTGTGATTTTTCAGTAAAAACATTCAAGTTCTAATATAATTATTCCTTACGTCATTTACATTTTTAGTTTTGGTATTAGGATGTTATTTAATACGAAATTAATTACGAAATTTAGTACTTATTATGTAATATTATTTCCCATCGCGATTTCCCATAGTTCAGCTCTTCACATAACCTCTGTACACGACAGCTGCAGCTGCAAAACTTTCCCCAGAAAGTTTTTATTTGAAAAAAAAAATCATACCCCCCCTCTCTCTCTTCATTTTAAAATATATATTTAGGAAATTGGAATGTATAGCTATATGTAACTAAACAGAGGGTATTAAAACACATAAGTTCTGAAATACATATTTGGTATTTCTCAAGTTTCGACAACGGTACTATCTCGGGAAAGTGAAAAGCCATTACGACTATATAGCACTTGGAAGGGGTCTGGAAAAGGATTTGGGATGGGACGGGGGAAAAGGAATGGTGCCCAAACACTTATGGACGGTCGGGGATTGAACATAGACCTGCATGAAGCGAGACCGTCTCTCTACCGACCAACCCAAGTGCTTGGGCTATCAGGGGAAAGCGCCAAGCCATAAGACTAGTAATTTCATTGTGTGGGTGTCAGCAGTCTGAAATCTGCTCCAGGACATGAACTTCATTCGCTGAGAAAGGTTGGTATGCCCATGAATTATCGATGACTGTGCGTCGGATGACCTTTACAGGGACGGGGGTCGAATCTCCCTTACACAGAGTAGTCGAGATTCGTATTCAGATTGATTGAATTTGAAAAATCGTAATGATTTTTAAAATCATTGGTTAAGGGAACTTCTAAATCTAAATCATGCAGTATACAGTTTACAAATTGGTACTGTAAATTTCAGTACACAGTTTATCTTGATAATACAGATTATAATTACAGAAATTGCATATTATTATGGTCATCTCTAAAAGTAAATAAATTAATGTAAATTTGTGTAAACTAAACCAATCGTAAATGTATTCACATTTATTAATAAAGTTTTTCAGTATATAATTCTGCTTTTATGGGAGGCTGGGGGTTGAGGGGGGGGGGGGGAGGACAAGTGGGTTACGACGTTGTTTAACACAGTTGTTAACCCACGTTCTATCCACCTGTTGGATAGATCACTGACATGTTCTCTATCCACCTGGTGGATAGGTCACTGACATGTTCTCTATCCACCTGGTGGATAGGTCATTGACATGTTCTCTATCCACCTGGTGGATAGGTCATTGACATGTTCTCTATCCACCTGGTGGATAGGTCATTTACATGTGCTCTATCCACCTGGTGGATAGGTCATTGACATGTTCTCTATCCACCTGGTGGATAGGTCACTGACATGTTCTCTATCCACCTGTTGGATAGGTCATTGACATGTTCTCTATCCACCTGGTGGATAGGTCATTGACATGTTCTCTATCCACCTGGTGGATAGGTCATTGACATGTTCTCTATCCACCTGGCTAGGTCATTGACATATGCTCTATCCTCCTGGTAGATAGGTCATTGACATGTGCTCTATCCACCTGGCTAGGTCATTGGCATGTGCTCTATTCACCTGGCTAGGTCATGGAAATGTGCTCTATCCACCTGGCTAGGTCATTGACATGTGCTCTATCCACCTGGCTAGGTCATTGACATGTGCTCTATCCACCTGGATAGGCAAATTTAAAGGCTGAATGCTCTATAGTTCTGTTTTTGTGTTTATCAATCAGTTGATGCCTAAACGAATCTGCTACTGAATGGAAAGGTACTGTCAGAAGAAAGCGACAAGCCATTAGGACTATATATCACTTGGAAGGGGATTAGGATAAGTATTAGGGATTGGACGGGGGGCAGGAATGCTGCCCAACCACTTGGACGGTCGGGGATTGAACGCCGACCTGCATGAAATCTATTACTAAATCTACCAATATATTATTCTCTACTCCATTCTCTTACTCCCTCAACCATTTGATCATCAATTGAATCGATAATTATTTTCCACGGTGACTGAAAAGTTCCACCCATATTGGAGAAGATATTGACATTAAAATCTAAAATATATCTCAGAAAGTTATCGGAACGTGACGGAGAATCCGAAGTTCATGATATCTTGACATGCGAACGTTCGAATTATTAATCTCACGGAAGGGCTATTATGGTGACACCATTTCTCACCATCCAAGTCGACTGTCCAGGAATGTGTGTGTGTGTGTGTGTGTGTGTGTGTGTGTGTGTGTGTGTGTGTGTGTGTGTGTGTGTGTGTGTGTGTGTGTGTGTGTGCGAGTGTTGGATTGCCCTCAGGGTTTCATGGACCAGTAACTGTGATGGGTGTGGACATTGGGTTGAATGACTGAGATTTTGTGAGTGTGTGTGAGTGTGTGTGTGTTTGTACCTATTTACTGCTGGGTGACCAGGGGCATCAGGGTGAAATAAACTCTGTCTATTTGTTTCTGCCTTGGCCGGGTATCGAATCCGGGACCTCAGAACGACGACCCCTGAGCATTGGCAACTTCAGCCGCGAGGCCTCCCCTGTGTATGAGTGTATTTACTATTTGTATCTGCAGAATCGAGCTATTAGCTCTTGGGCCCCATCATTTTGACCAATTTATTTTTTTCTCTATTATGTCTACATCATATATTTATTTCTAACACAGCCGCGAGGCCCCCCCTGTGTGTGTGTACTCACCTAGTCGTACTTACCTAGTTGTGCTTACGGGGGGTTGAGCTCTGGCTCTTTGGTCCCGCCTCTCAACTATCAATCAACAGGTGTACCGGTTCCTGAGCCTACTGGGCTCTATCATATCTACACTTGAAACTGAGTATGGAGTCAGCCTCCACCACATCACTTCTTAATGTATTCCATTTGTCAACCACTCTGACACTAAAAAAGTTCTTTCTAATATCTCTGTGGCTCATTTGGGCACTCATTTTGTGTGTGTGTGTGTGTGTGTGTGTGTGTGTGTGTGTGTGTGTGTGTGTGTGTGTGTGTGTGTGTGTGTGTGTGTGTGTGTGTGTGTGTGTGTGTGTGTGTGTGTGTGTTTACGCTTCACGAGAACAAACTCCAGTTTCTAGAGATCAGTTTTTCTGGTTTTTCGAGTAGTCAGATGCATAGCAAATGTCATATTTGAGTATTTAGTTTCTGAATTTTGAGTTAGCGTATATGTGTATTATTCACTGTGTCGGAAGCGATCAAATGTTCCGATCCTGAGCCTCCTCTTGTCGTCTGTTCGTCCACTGGAATTAATAATAAAAAAACATAAAATGAGAATTGTTCTTATGAGAACAATTCACAAGAAATCTGAAAAACTTTTTTTTTTTTCAAAACCTCTGTTTATCAATGCTCTTCCTCAATGCTCACCAGGTCATTCTGTATCATATAACTCTAACAATTATGTATTTACTACGTTCATGTATTTATCAATGTACTACTATGTTCATTCTGACGAAGCTTGGCAGTAAAAAGCTTACTACTATCCATGTGGTGTGTCACAGCTTACCTACTATCAGAACTCTTCAAAAATATTTTCGATTCTCTCTTGAGCTGATCTGTGTTTCCAGTTTCAGCCAATATTCTTGCGTTATGTTAGCACATATGTTAAAAAATAATATTAAGCCACTCGTTCTGCCTCTTTGAGTATTTGATATGTCGCGATCACGTCTTCTCTGATTTTCTTCAGCAATGAGACGATGAGTTCTACTAGCCTGGCTTAATTCTAGTTCTTCTAGTTCTACTAGTAGAGTTCTACTAGTTCTACTAGTAGAGTTCTACAAGTAGAGTTCTACTAGTTCTACTAGCCTGGCCTAATACTGTCATCTCCCATTTGCCTTATATCTACTTCTATCTTGCATATCCAGACTTTTAAGTGAGAAGGGAGCAATGACGAGAGTTAGAAGAGCAGGGATGGATAAGATAAGAATGCTGAGAGCCATTAGATAAGTAGATAGAAGGAAGTAATGAAATAGGAAGTTGTGGTGACGATTGTGGATCATATATAGGAGCTCACGATGCCAATGAAGAATACATGAATGAATGAATGAATGAATGAATGAATGAATGAATGAATGAATGAATGAATGAATGAATGAATGAATGAATGAATGAATGAATGAATGAATGAAGACCTGAGTCGTGATCACGCTACACCCAGGGTGGCGGCCGCCTTCTTCGAATCAGAACGCATGCAGAGCTGCAGTTCAAATGTCAATCAATTGTGGGTCTCCGCGGCTCTTGGAATGGATTGATTACTACGGCAACCAACCGGCAAGGGTTGTCATTGATCCACGACACGCTAGCCTTGTCCTTCCTGAAGAGAGAGAGGAAAAGGGGAAGAGGGCGAATAGAAAATGGAGTTTTCCATTTCAACCGTTCAACCAACTACGATCAACCATTTCAACCGTTCAACCGACTACAATCAACCATTTCAACCGTTCAACCGACTACGATCAACCAATTCAACCGTTCAACCGACTACGATCAACCATTTCAACCGTTCAACCGACTACGATCAACCAATTCAACCGTTCAACCGACTACGATCACCCAATTCAACCGTTCAACCGACTACGATCAACCATTTCAACCGTTCAACCGACTACGATTAACCAATTCAACCGTTCAACCTACTACGATCAACCAGTTCAACCGTTCAACCGACTACGATCAACCAATTCAACCGTTCAACCGACTACGATCAACCATTTCAACCGTTCAGCCGACTACGATCAACCAATTCAACCGTTCAACCGACTACGATCAACCAATTCAACCGTTCAACCGACTACGATCAACCAATTCAACCGTTCAACCGACTACGATCAACCAATTCAACCGTTCAACCGACTACGATCAACCATTTCAACCGTTCAACCGACTACGATCAACCAATTCAACCGTTCAACCGACTACGATCAACCAATTCAACCGTTCAACCGACTACGATCAACCAATTCAACCGTTCAACCGACTACGATCAACCAATTCAACCGTTCAACCGACTACGATCACCCATTTCAACCGTTCAACCGACTACGATCACCCAATTCAACCGTTCAACCTACTACGATCAACCAATTCAACCGTTCAACCGACTACGATCACCCAATTCAACCGTTCAACCGACTACGATCAACCAATTCAACCGTTCAACCGACTACGATCACCCAATTCAACCGTTCAACCGACTACGATCACCCAATTCAACCGTTCAACCGACTACGATCACCCATTTCAACCGTTCAACCGACTACGATCACCCAATTCAACCGTTCAACCGACTACGATCACCCAATTCAACCGTTCAACCGACTACGATCAACCAATTCAACCGTTCAACCGACTACGATCAACCAATTCAACCGTTCAACCAATTCAACCGTTCAACCAATTCAACCGTTCAACCGACTACGATCAACCATTTCAACCGTTCAACCGACTACGATCAACCATTTCAACCGTTCAACCGACTACGATCAACCATTTCAACCGTTCAACCGACTACGATCAACCAATTCAACCGTTCAACCAATTCAACCGTTCAACCGACTACGATCACCCAATTCAACCGTTCAACCAATTCAACCGTTCAACCGACTACGATCAACCAATTCAACCGTTCAACCACCTACTTTGGTGAAAGAGAAAAGCTCAAGAAGAGAACTGCACCTGTTCCGTATTAGGCTTGTTTACCCATGTGCGTGAGAAATAGGCTTACAGGTTCCAGAAAGAAGAGAGGAAAAAAAAAGCATTATAGAAAAATGCTAAAGACCTCACTGGAACATTACTCAACATACCTGCAGAGTTACAAACCAAATATGATTTACTAATGATTACACATTCACACACAGTTGGTCCACGGTCCTTTGGGGTCCTTTTCTACACACATACTGGGTCCAGGGTTCGAGTTTCCTAGAACCCAGGTGAATGGATTTTATCAGTGCAGAGGAAGTTATTAAACACATTGGACATAATCTTACTGAATCCAACAGGTGAGTCTTAAATACTCATCCACTGCTTAAGTCAGACAAAAATGAGTAACACTTATTGGGCAACTAGAGGCTTAGAGCCTATTCATGAATATCTCTAAAAAAAATGATCACAAGATATTAACTTAATATTCATAAAATCTACAATTTTTTTTTAATTTTGGCGTGTTCAGTGCTTAATGTTTTGCAATAGGGGTAAAAACAATACTAATAAATCAAACTAGTTATAATGGTCTTGCACGATTTTCCGTATGGGGGTCAGTTTCTCGCCATGTCACGCGGAACTCTTTTCTCTGATGCCAATCTCGACCTCCTATGTTTGGCATGAACCCATCAACAATTACTAGACAAAAATTGGGTGAAGCTTGCTCCGAGCATCTGGCCTCCATTTTCGAACGAGCGGACAGACAATGATATTTCAATTTTTTTAAATATAATTTGTTCACTTAATTTTTTTTTCCTGACATCATTGTTCCCTATCTCCCTTCCCTCCCACCCTCTCCCTTCCCTCCCTCTTTTCTTACCAATTTTCTCACACCATCTTCCCTTTGTTCCATTCCATCAGCCACCCTTCCCTTCCTAAATTTCCTCAAATCACAATCGCACAATTAATCTCCCAATCAATTACTCATACACATTCACTTTCACTCACTCTTGCACTCGAGTGATTGATCATAAAGATTAAGCCACCCAAGCGATTGCACGGGCATGAATAGCCCGTAATCCTGCACTCTGCCCACCCCCTCCAACTATTTACATCCCCCCCCCAACCGCCACCCCACCCCTTTTCATTTTCTCTCCCTCCTCACAAGCCCTCATCTTCTCCCTGTCTCACTAACTTCCTCACTCACTCCGCCTACTCATACTCATCAGGGCGGGTGGGCACGCGACCGCACACTCCACGGAACTCCTTCCCACCACATCAGCCGTGATTGTCTTTTGTCTCTCTCTCGCTCAATTCGCTCTTGATTGCGTTTCCACACACTTTGATCCGTTCATTCTTTCTCGCGTGTGGGCGCGCGAGCGAGCGAGCACTCACACACGCACACACGCACATACACACACACACACACACACACACACACACACACACACACACACACACACACACACACACACACACACACACACACACACACACACACACACACACACACACACACACACACACACGTGTGTAGTCCTCACGGCCGAGTGGCCAGCGCTTGTGGGTCGTAGTCCTAAGGGCCCGGGTTCGATTCCCAGCCGATGCAGAATCAAATGGGTCGTTTATTTCACCTGATACTCCTGTTCACCTATCTTTAAATAAGTACGAATATGTTTAGCTGCTACGGGCTGCTTCCTGAAGATACGTGTTAGAAATATAGTCGTAGATATGAAAGATTCATAGATCACGATTCAGTATATAAGACGATCGACCGTTAGAAAGGTGGAGACCAAGAGCTGGAACCTGTGGACACAAATAGTAAATCCAAAAAGTATATGCAACTCCCACTCCCCCCCCCCCCACACACACACATCCATACCTTTTTCTCTCTCTCTCTCTCTCCCCCTCTCTCTCTCTCTTCCCTCTCTCTCTCTCTCTCTCTCTCTCTCTCTCTCTCTCTCTCTCTCTCTCTCTCTCTCTCTCTCTCTTTCTCTCTCTCTCTCTCTCTCTCTTCTCTCTCTCTCTCTCTCTCTCTCTCTCTCTCTCTCTCTCTCTCTCTCTCTCTCTCTCTCTCTCTCTCTCTCTCTCTCTCTCTCTCTCTTAATGCAATACAGAGATGAAGTTCAGTCAATACCTGAAGTTGATATTCCATAACAAAAGCCCTAGCTCATTCCCCTGTGGTACGCTAACTACAATTTAGCTCTTTTCAATTTGTACTCAAATAAGGACTTCATTAGAGTTCGTTTTTTGACGGTAGTCACTAATTTGCAGTGAAATACAACTTTAGATGCCATGCCACTGGTGCTTCGCCAGTAGTCCAGAGTGCCCACTATATCCAGTCCAACAACACAGGGGATCTTAAATATTCCCATCAACAAATTCCCCTTAGTGGATTTTCATTCACGGGGGTTCTAGGAGACTCGAACCGTTGACCCTACGGGTGTACGATAGATCAATTGCAGAACAGCTTTTGCCAAAAGTATTCTGTTGATTAAAAAGCAACATTTCATTAGTAAAAACAGTTATTTGTGTTAGATTGTTGATTAAAAAGCTTATGCCAGTCATTGACAGTAGTTTCACTTGCCATGCTAATGATTGAGCGATACTTTAAAATGTGGATTTTACGTAATTAATTTGTGTTTCACGAGAGGAAATATGACTCCTAGAGGTGAGAGAAGTGTGAGAGAGATCGCTGTCATCAGGTCGGACACCTGCATAATGGTCTTGGGTTGTTCTGTCTAAGCCCAACCACTTAGGCTGGACGGTTGAGCGACGCTTCATGCAGGTCGGCGTTCAATTCCCGACCGTCCAAGTGGTTGGGCAACCATTCCAGTCACCCCTGTCTCATCCCAAATCCTTATCTTGATCTGTTCCAAGTGCTATATAGTCGTAATGGCTTGGCGCTCTCCCCTATCTAATCGCCTTTCCCATGTCGAGCAATTTAAGTAGGTGCGGGATTTCATCTTTCCTTAACGGCTTTCATCTTCATTTACTAGCTGAATTTCATTCATTAACTACTACGAGTAAGAACTTGAATACTGTTCTAATCAAGCTGAAGAAGTTGTTCTGCGTAAGATATTTGGGTTTGGTCTAAATAGGTGGACCATTTTCCTGATTACTAGTTGCTATCAATCGGTCAGATTAGTGATGGAATTATCCCCTCAAATGGGTATTCCAGGTGATCTTTAGTAATTGACCACCAGACCTTTTTTTAACTCATTCGTACTGATGCCAATTTCCTTTTTATTCATCAATACCATCGTGAGGTAGCCCAATTTCCAAATAAATTACTGTTTTAAGTGTGCTTGTTGAGAGCAGAAAGATGCCTGATATCTCTAAGACAGTCCACTATGGGCTCACCATAGCCCGTGCTACTCATCTCAAACAACAACATCTCTAGGACTTCGATTTTGCCTCAGCTGCCACCTGGCGTTGGTGGCTGAGCTATGGCTGGTCAGAATACGTAGGTCACATGCTTCATGTATGTGTTGTAGTATGGGCTGGGTGAAGGGATATGCCTGGTGTGTTTACATCCCCCTTTCGAGTGAGGCATTTCATTCAGCCAAAAAATGGAACGCATGCTCTTAATGGAACTCATAATGGAACTCTTAGTAAAACTCTCAGTGGAACTCTTAGTTGAATGCATGCTCGTTCCCATTAGATTTACCAGTACGTTCTAACGTACTGGAACGTATATAATTACCATAATATATAAGCAATATATAACTGGGCACGTTGGATAATTGTGGATATTTAAAAAATACAATTTGAGGGTTACTTGATTTAATTTTGATTTGAGAGGAAATGTAATCTGACATCGAAATTACTTCTTGAACAATGATTTAAAGTGAGCTAACGTTTCCAATAACGATATATTTTTCTCACTCGAGACTCTTGAATTCTGTGCAATAGATTCGTTATCTAACGATGTAATTGAGAAGTTACCTTATGATATGTGATATTTTGGAATAAATAAAGATTTTGTGCGTCTGAAGTATCAAAATTGGTCTATTCTAAAGAAAAATCTATCGATAATGTGTTTCATTCAGTTAGCATGCAGATGAGCAGTCACAATAACGTGGCGGAAATATGTTGACCAAACCACACACTAGAAAATGAAATGACGATGTTTCGGTCCGTCCTGGACCATTCTTAAGTCGATTGTGACTATCGACTTGAGAATGGTCCAGGACAGACCGAAACGTCGTCAGCCCTTCACCTTCTAGTGTGTGGTCTGGTCAACATTAGAGAAGAGCTTTGATTACGTGATTAAATACACTAATATATATAGCAATAAAAAAAATACCCGATACAGTTATGCGTAAATATCAACATACGACATATATAACGAAATTAATCAGAGTGCCTCTGTGATTTGATTCCGTGAAAATGTGTTAAATTACGAAAGCGCTTGGATTATTTTCGTTTGATTTTCCTGCGTGGATATTGTCATATAAGATGTCATAACATAGTTACATACTTGATTGTATGGCCATCAGGTATAATACAATTAACAACTTTCAATAATAATCTGTTTTAGTAAAGTTTAAAATGAATCATCACGGAGTTTTAAACCAGAATATTCTTGCAATGGGTTGAATATTGCAAGAATATTCAGGTTGAATATTCAACCTGAATATTCTTTGATGTCAAACAGTTCAATACACAACCATACAGATAGATATGTGTGTTCCATTTCATACAACGTTCATAATGTCATGTATGTTTATCTGTACATACAAAATTTGTACAAATTGTTTAATGCCACACATGTTATTAATATGTAAAACATTCTTAATTAAACACCTCGAGAAATTCGTCTCCTTCAACTTCAATAAGTTTACTGGCACATACAAATTTCACCGGAAAAGAATGGAGCATCGTGGGCAATTTAAACCCCCTCATCAAAGTTTTAATTACCCCCCCCCACTGTCCAAGGAAGGGCAATTATCAGGAGAAAGCGCCAAGGTATTACGACTATATAGCACTTGCAAGGGATAAGGATTGGGGCGTGACGGTGGAAAGGAATGGTCAGAAAACTGGATTTTTTTGTGAACTAGGAGTCGAAC